AACTTCAAACAGAAGGCATGCTGCAGACTGCCCAGAGCTAGTCCTTTGCAAAATGGGAGGAAGGAAAGCCAAAAGCACCTAAAACAGAGTCAGGGATCCTCAAACCTTTTGGCCCCATGGGCATATTTGGGAACCTGCTGTGGGCACCGCCACAAAATGTGATGAGTGGATCACAGCTTTGGCATCTGCCAGTCCCAGCTATGCATCCCAGGTAGCTATATAAGGTATAAAAGATGAATTGTTGACACCCCCCAAAACCTGCTGTATGTCTTGTGCCCTTTCCCTGAGCACCAACTCAACAGTCTTCCTCTGGAGACGAAAATTATTCAGATGACATGGGCATGCAATAGAGGACTTTATTGAGGTGGAGGGTTGGAAATTCACTGCACTTGCATTTGGGCTATGATTAAGTGAGCCCTTGTTCTGACAGAACCATTTTAAAACATTCCTCTTTCTGCTCATCTTCCACAAACCTGACAGATGTGTGAGCCTTGTGCAACTTTCACATCAGCGACATTTTTATGGGACTTCTTTCTTTCTTGGGACCAACCAGTTCATTACCCATCTAGTTTAAGATGGATACAAGAGCCATCCCCAGCCTCCAAAAAGGGATAATAATGGGCTGTCCCACCCAGTTCAAAAGACATGATCTAATACTGCAAGAATTGGGAACCTAAAAGTTATTGCAGTTTATGGAAGATTTGAGAAGGTGGCTATAGAAACACAGTATACAGATAAAAAGCAAAAGAAGCTGTGTTGGTCCACAAGAAAAATTCCAAAATCCACAGTTGGGCAATACCAATGATATTTGGATTGGTCCTAATAGCGGTACAGCCCAACTGTGCATTTTGGACTGTTACGCAGGTTTCTTTGCTACTATAAAGGATACAGAGAAAGTTATTACAAAGTTTTTTTTTAAAAAGTGTCTTGGCCATTTTATTCCCACTTATCCAGAAAGCTGGTGACAGATTGCCTTATATTGAACAAAACCTGCATGCCAATAAACTTTATAAAGCTCCAATCCTATTTCTAGGGATGCCTTCCTAAGCTTCATCAAAAGGTTATCAAAACAGAGAAACTGTAAGATAATGCTTCTTATCTAACAGCGTTTTGTACCTTCACCCTTGCAGCTGTAGGAACATCTTAGACTATGGATCTTTAGGACTGGGCTCTGTCCAGTTCAATGGGATTTATGAGTAAATGTATGTAGGATCAGATCGTTCAAATGATTCTGGACGATGCTCAGAGCTGCGCTTTGTGAATGCCTCGGGAGATTTCATTTATTAGGTTTGGGGTGGGGTGGTGATGTTATTTTTGGCATAGTTGTGTAGTACTAGTATCATATTATTTTTGTGTGTTTACATTCCATTTTTAGCATAATGAGTCCCAAAGTAATTTACAATAGAAACAAAAGAAGTTACAGTTACAACCACAACACTTTAAAAACTAGTCTAATCTAGTTGCTGAAGACATGAGACAGTTTTTCAGTCCCCTCTTAAAAGAGGGGGCCTGAGCTACCAATGGACCACGTGTTCAGTGAACAGGCATCGCCATAGAGCAGGCCTGGCCATTGTATGGCCCGCGGGCCACATCCGGCCCAATGGCTGACCCTGACTGGCCCGCATGAGGTCACTGGCAAATTAAAAGTCAATGCAAATATATATCATCGTAATATAGATGCAAGCAATACAACTGCACTGCTTTTATTTTGAAGGGTCTGCTAAATTGAATTGAATTTATTGCTTTTCATGTAATGTTAATGTTTTTGTGAATATTCATTAAATAGTGTTGTTCTGTGCTCCACATTTTCATTGTATCATTGTAATGTTTCATTTACTGTTTTTATAGAGATATATATTGAGCAGAGTTGTAAGTGTATTGGTCCGGCCCTTAACAACTGTCAAAGTTTCTCATGTGGCCCCATAGGAAAATTAATTGCCCACTCCTGCCATAGAGTAAGCCCTACGTTTCACTGAGTGCCATTTAGCTTCCACCGTTTGATGGTACCTGGAGCAAAGGTTCATTGGCAGTTCTGAATGCCCGGGCTGTAATAGAAGTCTCCCTAAAAATTATCAGACAATGGAACAAGACCTCCAAGTAACCTGAGAAAGGTTTACTTCCTGATAACCCAGGGCATTGCTGATATTGCAACACAGAAACATCCATGAGTTATACAGAGTGTAGGGCAGACTATGCAGGGCAAATGCACTGTGAACTGGAGCAGCTTAAAATAGAATTGGGACGGCTTGCAGCACATTCATGCCCTCAGGAGATCCTGATGAGTTATTGAAACTGGGATGCTCTCTAAGGTTCACATAATTCTAATATTAGCCCCTGCCTTGCTCTTCTATATCTCTTCACTATTTTCCTTTATGTTGCCTTTTCCCATCCCCTTATACTCCTCTACCATTCATTTTATTTGATTTGGCTGAATTACCAACACAGCTTTGCTTACAGCAAGTGTGGGCCATTTGTGGCCCTCTAGGTGTTTTGGCCTACCACTCTTGAGGGAGAGAGTTCTACTGCCCGGGTGCCACAGTCAAAAAGGCCCTGCCCCATGTATCAGCCTGACTATATGTATAAAAGCAACCAAGTTGGAGGAGTGCCTTCAAAGGCTTCCACAGTGAGAGGAATTGCTCCATCTTCAGCTATATATTTGCAAACATTTGGGGCTTTATATGTAAGAACCACCTTTTTGACTTGAACCTAGAAATTAACAGGAAGTTAGCATAGATTTGCCAGCCACTCCACTTCAGATTAAAATACTTCAAAAATTATTTGGCATCTGCAATCAAATCTGGATGTGGTCAGAACCTATGTGAGAAGAGTCTGATCTGCTTTTGTCCAGGAAAGGGCAAGGGTGATGCACCAGAAAGAGTGTTACCTTTGTGTGTCATAGGAGGACAAGCAAAGCCCTGCTGGACCAGACCAATGGCCCATCCAGTCCAGCACTCTGTTCACATGGTGGCAACCCAGCTGCCCACACCGTCCCTCAAGCAGGATGGGTGCAGGACCTCTTCCTGTCCAAGCGCCTCAGCAACTGGTGCAGGAGCATGGCACACCTGCAGATGGAGGGAGTACGTAGCCAGCAAGGTCAGCACCACAGTGCAGGCATTTCTGATTTCTGCTCCTTTCAGGAAGCAATGCCCAAGATGGTGCCCTCCAGATATTTTGAACTACAACTCCCAGGATGCCTGACTATTGGCCTTGGTAGCAGGGGCTAATGACAACAGCATTTGGGGAGTACCATGTTGGGGAAAGCTGGCATGGGCAAAGGCTATTCAGAGGAAATGATGACCCTTGATTTCTCTTTCCCCTTCTCCATTTTTAAGTGGTATCAATTGGGCTCTGCCTGCATCTGGAAGGCCAGACTATTAGCAGCCTGCACTTCAAAGTTTTGAGGGCAAATTGAAGAGATGCTTCTCGATGGCAATTTCTCCAATTTGCACAGGAGAGCTGTGATGAATCTTGGATCAAAACACTGCTAAGTGGCTTGAAAGCCAGCCAGAAGGCAGTAAACAAAGCATAATGAGAAGCGGTGACACACGGCATTGCCCTGAGCTTGAAAGTCAGTGATAGGGACTGTTTGTTCACCTTCTTGGATGCCCCAGAAATGTCTGTGAATGAATTGTACAGCTGATAGCATTTGGACAAAAATGGTGTGTCCCAGCTGGCACTTAAGAAGTGATTTGTACCTTGCCAAGCATAAAATATTTTCTGTGGAGGTGGGGAATCAGACTCTGAAAAGAAGCAAGCCTGAAGAACCTGAGGAAGATAAATTATCGGCTATCATCATGATCATGTTTTCTGGCTTTTTCTTAGGAGTGAGGAATGTGTGGCTTTCCAGAAGTTGTTGGACTCCACCTTCTATCAGCCCCTGCCTGTATGGCCAATGATCAAGCATAATGGGAACTGTAGTACAGTGACATCTGGTGGGCCAGAGATTAATGAAATGTACAGAAGTGTACTTGATTTTCATTTGCACATCTGTTCATTCCATTTTAGGAAAATACTCTTCTGCTTTGGCAGCAGCTGCAAATATCCATACAGGGAATTGCACAGCCATTTCCCCAGTAGCAGCCAGTTTGCAACTATACAATCCTAAACGTCTCTTATTGGCTAGTATAGTCCTGTGCTTTGAAAGACTCTTGGATTCACTTTTCTAGCTCTTTGCCAGCAGCAGAATTCCTACTGCAGCCAACAGTGTAAAAAGAAAAGAGAAAAAGGAAAGGAAATGTACTTCAAAGTCCTTGAAAGGGATATTTGATCATTTAACAGATAAACAAAGCCCTTTTCATAAATCTCCCCATATTAATTATTCTTTTTCTAACCCTCTAGGTCAGAAAGACTCTTTCACCAAAATAGATTTTTTATTTGTGTTTTTTACCAAGAAAGTCTCATTTTTCCACTTGAGAAATATGAGAGAAATGCACATCTTTTTCTGGGGCAATAGGCCCCGGTGAAAGTTCTTTTTTCCTCATCCTTAATAAAAATTGTCTTTGTCATATCCACTGTGGAAGCACATGCTCTTGTTACTTTTTAATGCTTTCATGTCTCTGAAAATATGACTTTATTGTGGGATTTTCTTGCAGCCAGGAGTTAGCACAATATTTCTGTTAAATTCAAATATTACCATTGCACTCAAATGTCTCTATGTCAGAGAAGATACTAGAAACTTCTTAGGAAACCATAGCTATGTCCGGTCATTTGTGTTTTCTGTGACAAGCTGACTTTTTCCATATAGATGGCTAACTGAAAAAAAAATGACACAGTAAACCAGGGATGGGAAATTTCTTTCAGGCTGAGGGCTGAATTCAGTTTCATCATAAACTCATAAAAGGCAGGGGGAAGAGCTTATTTTTACATATGTAATGAAGTAAAGCTGTCAACGCAAATAAGCAAACCACAAAAAAAAAAAAAAAATTCTGCTACATTCCAAGACATTTTTTCCTTTCTACACTTAAAATGAAAGTAAAATGTTACATATTTTTGTTTTTCAGAATGACCAGTCTATGCAAGATGCACAGATCATAGGAGGAGATGACTTTTCAGAGTTGGCTGGAAAGGTTTGTGAACCTTTAAATAAAATTAAGTTAGTAATATATCAGAAATCTAAGGGTACCTAATAGAGAAGTTTTAGATATAGATTTAGAAATGTCACTGAGAATTGTGTTACTGCTGTTGATTGAAAAACAAGATATAAATGAACTTAAGAACGAATTGATTCTAAGTTTGATAATGGCAGCTAGGTTAGTGATAGTTAAATATTGGAACCAGAATTGTGTTATGCAAAGGCATGAATAGTGTAATGAAATATGGAATACGGTAATTAATGACAAACTGACATCAGAAATAAAAATTAAAAAGGGTTAATAAAAGCAAATAAATATAATGAAATTTGGGAAGATTTTGTAAAAGCAGTATTGATAGAAGGTAAACGTTGCAAGCCTAATCAAGACTATATGAATTTTTGGAGGGGATTTGGATATAATTGAAGTATATTATATATTGTTAATTGATATAATATATGAAATGAAATGGAGGTATTATTGGTCTCCTGGGTGGTAGAGGCTTTGTTGCGATGGGGATGGCATAAAAATGTTTTAAATAAATAAATAATAAATAAAAGTTTGATACAGCTGGATAACACCAGGTTGGGTAACAGTGATCCCAATAGCATGAAGCCCAATTTATACCCTTTTATACCCTTTCTAGCCATGCTTAGATTATTCTAAAACTTGTCTCACCTTGGGATGAACGTTGTTTTATGTGAAGTCACAGCATGAGGGAAGGAATAATGCTTCTCCATGTACCTTGATTCAGAACCTTTTCTCCCTAATTTAAAGGGAAAGATACATTAACTGCATCAAAGGTATCATGGTAAACCGTGAATTATCATGAGGGGAACAGACCTGGATGAGCTTCAGGCATACATGTTCTCCCAGATGCCTCTTTCTGCCTATGGACAAAAGGACATGAGGAGCATACAAGCTTCTCAAACAGGGATATTCCCATGGCTTATCAAATACAAAACACATGTATTTATTGGCTGGATTCAGACCACATGATAACCCATACTCAGTGTTGAATATGGATTGTCAGTGAACTGTAGAGTGTTTATGCATGGGTTGTGTTGTTTAACTTAGTGACACTAACAAAGCATGATTTGTTATCCATGAACAAGAGAACTCAGGGTTTGTTGCTGGGCTTTGAATGGTGGGTTGTTTGTGGTTTATCAACTATGCTTTGTTAGCATGGCCGGTTCAGACAAAATAAGCCATGTTTCAGCAACAACCCATGGTTCAATGATAATTCAAACTCAACCCTGACTTGTCTGATCCCAGTCAATGTTCATTTTGACCATTAAAATGTATTATTATATTGGTCTTGACAAAGATAAAATATTCATGATGACTACTTGAAACCATTGATAAAGTCAATGGTTTCAAGTAGGCATCATGAATATTTTATTCCAAGCAATTGGAAGGCTGAGGAGCAGCTGAGTTTCTGCATTCACTCTACTTGAATGTACTCATTTTAGGAGGAAGAATGGAAATTTTCTTCAGAAACAAGATTCTTTTAACCCATGCCTAGGCAGATCAAGCATTACTTGAAGAATAGATAAAAATATTTAATTAGGCAGATGGTCTGTGTGGCAAAGCAGATTGTAATAGCAAGCTTCAGGATGAATTTGGGCAAGATGATATTAAAACTAATTTACACTGCAAGTGCAATTATTATGTGTTAATAATAAGACTGCTAACTGATGAAGGGTGCAACAAGCCCTCAAACTTGGCAGCTTCCAAATTTTTGATACCTGCTGGGCTGAAGCCAGGAGGGCAGGAGGAATGGTGGTGGTGATCTTTGCCTTCTCATCTGCCAGTCTGTTGTATTTTCACTAGGAGGGCTTGTCTGGCTGTCTAGCAAAGTCTCTTGGCACGGGGGAGAGAAGGAAGCTGGAAGAGGCTCAGGATAACTCATGCCCTGGCGCCTCCCATCTCCTCCCTGCCTGTCAGAATGCCCTATTTCCCAATGCTTCAGAGTTGCTTTTCTGAACTCATTGTTTTCCCCATGCCAGCTGTGAGGGGAAGGAATCTGGTGTCAGCGCTTCAACTCCCCCTTCTGATGTCAGAGCCCTGTCTCCAACACTAGAGTAGTTTTATGAGCCATCCCATGGTCCCTGAGAAGTTCTCCTAGGAATCAAAGTATTTCTCTTTAAATATTGTTGAGTTAATCATTCAATTCAATTTGGTGCCCAATGCATGGTTCAAAATGCATGTTTCAAACTGTCCTGTGCCCAAAGGCCTGCAAAGCTGAGGAACCACTGCTTGCAGTGTGACAAGGTGGCCCAAAGGGTGCCCTTAATATGTTTCAGTCTTAGCTGTTCCAAGCAATTAAAGAGTCCAGCTTCCCCCACACTCTTCACTCAAATGCTCATATTAGTGCCTCAGGTGACCCTGCAAACACTGGTTGAGGGCCTGGGCCCGCTGCTCAAAAAATACAGCATTGCAAGGTAGATACCTCAGGCCCTGCAGCTGAACTAGAAGGATTCTTAGCTAAAATGACAAGGCTGGTGAGTTTTGGGGTAAGCCAAGTGGCTGGTGGGAACCAGACCACCTCTGTTCCAGGGGGAGACCACAGTGGAATAGAAGGGGCAAATGGGGAAGGGTGTAACTTAATGAGCCCTGTCATTCAATCACAGGTTGAGAGAGCTAGTTGATTGAATAATGTTTGGTGTCCCTGCCAACTGCCCACAAGTGGGAAATATCCCTGAGGGTGGGGCTTACTCTGTTTGCAGGGGAAGCGAACAAGGGGGAATTTAGTTTGGAGTCAGCTTTTCAGCTTGAGCAGATCTCTCTCTAACACTCCCTCTCCCTCTCTCTCTCCCTCTCCCCCTTTCTCTAATTAGCTGGCTCATTAACTTGATGAATGTCTCTTGCTAACAATATCTACATTACCATCTTTGTATTACAAAGCCAGATTACAAAGCCAGTTCTGGCTGGCCCACTTTAACACAATGAAAGACTGTAGTTAGAAACCTTTGTCTTGACCTGCTGGGAAGGGAAAAAGAAAGAGGCTGTGAGGAAGAGACAAATGGGACAGAATGACATCCTGTTCCTCCAAGGAATATAGAATGGAGGGAAAGGCAGCTGATCCAGGGGGCTCCATTTTGAAAATGGAGATGGCAGCCCCAGCAGAAACTGGGCCTGCTAGCTGCTTGGAGTAGTTGTTACCCATTAGAAAATGTACAAAGGCCGGGGAACTTTAAAAGCACTCCTTAAAATGCACACCACACTGTGGATTACATAGCTAATTGCTAACTTTAGAAGGACACTTCTTTTAAAAAAATCCAAACAGAAACAGGCCATCCATGGTTACCAGCCTTGTTGGCTCTGTGCTTCTTCCACTATCAGAGACAGTGGACCTGTGTACACCAGTTGTTGAGGAACTTGGGTGTGTGGAACTCTTTATCCATTCTGCTGGAGGGAAGCTGGGGTAGCTGGGCTTTGTGAGTGTGTGAATGGAGTGTTGGACTGGATGGACCACTGTCCTGATCCAGCATGGTTTTTGGGAAGAACAGGGAAAGAACAGGTGTAGAGTGACACAGACTGGAAATAAATGGATCTTTCTATCCCAGGGGTGAGGAAACTAGCCAATGCAAAATCCAGCATTCCTAGAGTCCACTGGGGTTCCCGAAAAAACCACATCATCTTCATCAAGAATACCCTCCTTCCCCCATCCAATGATCATTTGGTGGTTCTCCAGCTTTGGGGCAGTTCTCCACCACCATGCCCCCATTTAAAAGTGTTGAATTGCCTCTTTAAAGGCATTGTTTTTAACAACAATAACTGTAAGGCACAATGTATTGGTATGTTTTATATTTGGGGGTCCACCTATTTTGCTTTGGCTCCATGCTCCATTGCAATATGCCCCCCAAAAAGGGTAGTAAGAGGCAAGGCACTTTCTCACAGCCTTTAGCTGGACCACCCTTTCCTTGTTCCTGTACATTCCTCTCTCCAGAGGTCAGTCAGTGGCAGTGGCTTCTCTAGAATCTTGCTCCTCTCCCATACCAGTCCATCTTCTGACTCAGTAGCCTGTTGTTACTTGTCCGCAGTTAACCCCAGAGACTCAAGTGCAGGATGAATGAGCTTCAGAGCCTCAGAGACTACCTGCATGCTGTAGACATGCGCTTGCTGGGAAGGAGCATGTCCATTCTAAGCCCTGAGAAAAAGCGCACGAAGGGTGCCATTTGGAGGGACCTGGGCATGTCTGTTCCATTGCCCAGGAGAGGGCAGCTTCAGCTTACTGTTTCCATCATGGAAACCTCCTGCCCAGAGTTTTTCCACATCCCACTCTCCCAGCTGAACTCTTGCCCTCGTGCAGGCAACAGCTACCTGCCATAGCCTCCTCCAGTTAACGTTTTCTGCAGCTGATGAGATGACTCAACATCTCTGGAACAAACCCAAAAGGTGCTGTTAGGAAAGGGGGGAGGATTAGTTTGAATGTAGGCAGCAGCACAGCAGCACCCCCAGCTCTGCCTTCATCATGGAACATCTGCTTTCTGTTCCTCATTAAGCAGGAGGAAGTGTGCTGATCTTACTGGAGCTGCCACAGTGGAGCTGGCAGTTACGATTCCTGCCATGGCCCCCACGCACACACACACAGTGATTTTAATTCTTAGAATCCAGCTGTGTGGACATATGTTCTTGAATGAGTACATAAATTTAGTGTTGTTTTTCCCTTCTGCATTGAACTCTGCTTTAGCTAAGACAGTGGCATGTGGGAAACGGCACTTGGTTTGGAAGTGCTGCATCAGTGGGAGGCCACCTGGGGCCCTCCAGGGATTTTGGAGTACAGTTCCCATGATCTCTGGGCATTCACCAGATTGGCTGGGGCTTTTGAAAGGTGTCGTCTTGAACATCTGGCAGGCACCACATGGCTTATCTCTGGGATCACATAATAGAGCAATAGTGGCACCATCATTTTGCTGTTTGTGCAAGTGCAATCCCTTGTCTGTTTACTCAGAAGTAAATGCTGTGTTCAGCTAGGGTTAGTAGGATTACAG